CACTACAAAGAAAGAGAATTACAGGCCAATATCCCCGATGAACATTGATACTAAAATAATCAACAAAATATTAGCAAATTGGATCCAGCAATATATTAAAAAGATCATATCCATGACAAAGTGCGATTTATTCGGGAATGTAAGGGTAGTACAATATTTGTAAATCAATAAACGTAATACATCACATAAACAAATTGAAAGACAAAAATCACATGATCATATCAATAAAAAAAGAAAAAGAATTCAACAAAACCCAACACTCATTTTTAGATAAAAACTCTCAGCAACGTGGGAATAGGAGGATCAGACCTCATCATAATAAAGGCCCTACGTGACAAACCTATAGTGAACATCATACTCAACGGGCAAAAACTAAAACCATTTCCCCTAGTAACAGGAACAAGACAGGGATGCCCACTCTCACCACTCTCATTCAACATACTATTGGGAGTCATAACCACAGCAATCAGACAAGAAGAAAAAAAAAAAGGCATCCAAAGTGAAAAAGGAGGAAGTAAAACTCCCATTATTCACAGATGACATGATACTGTACATAGAAAACCGTAAATAGTCCATCAAAAAACTACTAGATTTAATAAATGAATTTAGCAATGTAACAGGATACAAAATTAACACCCAGAAATTGATGGCATTTTTATACACCAATAATGAATTCTCAGAAAGAGAAACTAAAAAGTAACCCCAGTTACCATGGCAACAAGAAAATTAAGATACTTAGAAATAGACTTAACTAATGAGGCAAAAGACCAGTACTCAGAAAACTATAGGACGTTGAAAAAAGAAGAAGATATAAACAAGTGGAAGAATATACAGGGTTCATGGATTGGTAGAATCAACATCATTAAAATGTCCATATTACCCAAAGCAATCTACAGATTCAATGCAATCCCCATTAAAATACCAACAGCATATTTCACAGCTGTAGAACAAATACTCAAAAAATTTATATGGAGCAAAAATTTTCAACATCCTGTAGTTTTCCTAGTACAGGTCTTTTACCTCCTTCGTTAAGAAAATCTCAGACATATCTCATAGCAATATATTTGCTGATACATTTCCTAGGGCAAAGGGAATTAAGGGGAAAATAAACAAATGGGACTACATAAAGATAAAAAGCTTCTGCACAGCAAATGAAATCATCATCAAAACAAAAAGGAAGCCCACTGTATGGGATAACATATTTGTCAATGATATATCTGATAAAGGGTTAATATCCAAAATATATAAGGAACTCATACAACTTAACAAAAGGAAGACAAACAATTCAATTAAAAAATGGGCAAAAGACCTAAAAAGATACTTCTTGGAAGTGGACATACAGATGACCAAGAGACATATGAAACAATGCTCAAAGTCACTGATCATTAAATTAATGCAAATTAAAATGACAATGACTTATCACCTCACCCCTGTCAGAATGGTTACCATCAACAAACCAACAAATGACAAGTGCTGGTGAGGATGTGGAGAAAAAGGAACCCTAGTACACTGATGACAGGAATGCAGACTGGTATAGCCACTATGGAAAACAGTATGGAATTTCCTCAAAAAATTAAATATGGAACTGCCATTTGTCCTAGTGATCCCACTTCTAGGAATATATCCTAAGAAATCTGAAACACCAATCATAATGAATGTATGCATAACTATGTTCATAGCAGCACAATTTACAATAGCTAAGATCTGGAAACAGTCCAGGTGCCCATCAGTAGTTGAGTGCATAAAAAAGCTTTGGTACATATATACAATGGAATTCTATGCAGCAGTAAGTTCTGTAGACCCATTACACAACAATGGGAACATTATTCAACTGTACACTTAAAAATGGTGAAGATTTGTTTTTACCCCAAGTTCTTAAGAAATTTCAAAATTCCAGAGACAAAGAAGCATAGAACAGACTGGAATCTCAGAGGGAAGGTTGGGGAGGGTGGGTACGTGGGAAGAGACCAACCAAACTTGTATGCAATATGCACAATCCATGGACACAGACTATAAGGTGGTGAAGGCCTGGGGCGGGTAGAAAGGTGTGTTGGGGGGTGGAGGCAGCTTAGAAAGGGACATATGTAATACTTTCAATAAAGATTTATTTATTTTTTAAAAAGATGAAAAATATAAAAAATAAGAATAAAATGGAAATAAATACATATCCATTAACAATTGAATCTAAAAATCAAAATAAACAAACAAGGAATCTAATGAACAAAATAAACTGATGAATCAAATAGAATCATAGTCATGAAAACATGAACAGACTAAGGAATCTCAAAGGGAAGGGAGAAGGAAGAGATTAACCAAAGAATTTATATGCATATATGCATTACCTATGAACACAGACAATAGTGCTGTTGACCTGGAGAGGGATGGGAACTAGGTAGAGGGGAACAACGGGGGCGGGAGGGAGGGAGGGTGGTGGTGGTGGTGGCGGATATCTGTAATACTTTCAACAATACAGATTTAAAAACAAAAAAAAAAAACAAACAAAAAAACGAGTGAGCCCTGGAAACCTAGGCCCCAACCCTTGACCTGAATAAGAGCAGACCCCAGGCCCATGCACTCAGTCTCATCTAAACCTCACTGTATGTAACAAATCTTGTCTTTCCAAAGTTTTCTGATGGTTACTGCTGAATGATGTCTTATAATAATAGTAAGAAACACAAGGGCTGCTCCAGCCACAACATTGGTTTTGATAGACTGAGACCAGCACAAAACAACCCCCCGCAACATAATTCAAAGGAAAAACAACACCAACCACAGAATAACTCTAAGGAAGCCTGAGAGCGTTCTAGTTTTACCCATGAGGACTACCTTATGCTTCTTTAAGTATCAAATATTAAATTCTATCCCTGAATATTTAGAGGCCTTACTACATACAGGTATGCCTCCTGGGTGACCAGTGTCTCATTATTCTCTGAAACTATCTTCTGAGCACTAGTCCCAGACTTGCTGTTCCCTGTCTCTCCTACTGGACTTCAGGCTCCTGGGGAGCAGTGAATCTGTCTGCACCTTTGGGATCCTGCACAGCTCCCAGCAGGGTGGGGCCTGCTACAGTTCTGTGAGGTAGACAATGCTCCCTCTGTCCTCAGGTCCCACGGTCTTCACCCCGAAGCTGAGTGTCTTGGGCAGAGTCTGAAATAATGGACCTTATAGTGGAGAAGCAGGATGGGGCAAGGGTAGGGCCCGAGGGGGCAGAGGTGGGGATGGGGTGGGGGGCTCTCTGCAGCTGTACCTTTCAGGAAGCTCTTCACTGATGAAATTCTGGAGCCCAGATACAAGGTTAGCAAGAGCCCCTGTGGACCCTGAGAGGTCATTGGGGTCCCTGCTCTTGGTCAAAAGTTATGGCACAGAGCATCTGGGCTCCCAGAGGGTTCATCTTTAGGGAAACTCTGGAGAGTCTATTGGTCAGAGAAGGGAGTAAGGCAGGGCTTCTGTCTGCCTGACACTGGGATGCCTGCCATTCTCACCTCAGACTGAGAGAAAGAGGGAGAGGGGAGCTTTAGCGGAGGGGGGTGGGGGGGAAGGAGTTTGGATGCTGGCTTCCTGGGAGGCTGCATCAGCCAGAAGACACTTGGAATTAGCCTCTGAACACCAGAGTGAAAAATAGATTATTCACTGTCAAGCTGAAGGATGGAACAAAACAAACCGCAGCCATGGATTGGACATGCAAATTTTGCTCAAAAATGGTGTGTATGGTACCCTAGCAGCCGTACAAACTGCTCAGTGCCACAGCCAAGTTATACAGATGAAGAGAGAGAGAGATAGGCAAGCAGGCACCAATGTCCTCTCAGGAGTGGAAAGAATGTGGGCTTTCAAGTCAGAGATATGAGTTAGATTCCCAGCTCTGTTATTTACAGCTTTATGTGGGGTGGGGGAGGGGGAGGGAAGAAAAGGGCTTCTGTGGAAAGTAACCTCATAGGGTAATCTGATCATAAATTCCTAACTGGGCAAGGCTTTACTTTGCCTTAAGCCAGCACTGTCCGTTGATTCTGTGCATCTAGGTTAACACACATTTGCATAAACTGTGACCACCCTCAAGAGAGCACATACTCTTGTTAACTATCCTTTAATCTAGTTCCTGCCTCGCTTTCTCCCACCTCCCTGTAACCTTCCTTATGTTTTCTCCTTAATTCCAAATGCATAAAACAAGCCTCAAACGGTTATTCTGTGAAGCATTTGAGACCTTACTCCTGGCATATGCCCTCAGTTTGGCTCAAACTATTGTAAAAATTCTCTACAGCTTGGACTTTTCTTAGGTGGACAACAGGCTCCAACTACTTCCCTCGGAACTTGCGGTTGTAAAGATAAAGCCCAGCACAGGTAACAAATCCACGGGAACCTCCAAGTATGAGCAGAACTTTCCAGGGCTCCCTGCTGCCTCCCTGAAAACAAGGAGGCCCGAGGTGAGAATGGATGGGAAGGGCCTACGGCTGTCACCCTGGTCCTCTGGTGCTTACTAGTACAGTCCGCAAGGCTGTTTACTTGCTCTCCTCCATGCCACTGGTCAATACTGGTCAGTTTGTCCCTAACCAGGGCCCCTCTTGGCAAGACTGGGACCTGAGCACACCTGCCCACCCTCTGCCTGGTGCTCCAGAAGATGGGAGGATGACATGCTTGTTTCTGGGCCCAGCCACCCAGCCCTGTGACCTGGAAGGGATCTCCGCAGCTTCCCTGGTGAGCCTCTCAAAGGGTCTGTGAGCCCCCAAAAGACTTCATTCCCTCCACCAGAGCCACTGCGTAGACATCACTCAGGTGAGGAAGGGTCCTGCTCTGAGAGCGCCCTGTCGCTCCTGGTACAGCCATGTGTCAGGCTGTGTGCCATCTCACTCCAGACAACGAAACCTCCTTGGGAGACAGACAGATTCCTCTGCCACTAGGAAGCCCAGTGGGACTCAGACCCTGGGAGGAAGCAGGATTCAAGGGGGAAGGTGTGGGCTCTGAGGGAGGAATTGCTGTGCGAGGGCTGTGCCCAGAGGCCAGTTTACCTTGGTGAAGGTCAGGCAGTCCTGGTCCTGGTCTCGGTCCTTCATCTCAAAGTCATACAGGGCTTTGCCCTGGGGAGGGGCGGGTGGCAGGGGCCGGAGACACTGCACATAGCTGGCGGGTAGGAAGCCGTGGGCGCCGCGCAGCTCCCCATGGAACCAGTGCTCGTCCACCCTGCGCCTCAGGATAATGATGTCTCCCTTGTTGAACTTGAGGTCACCAGGCTCCTTCCCTTCGTAACTGTAGAGGGCTTTGCCACAGGGAAGCTGGGCAGGATTCTGAAAACAAAACACAAGGCGGGTTACTCAGCGTGGCCTTTCTGCTGCCTGGGCGGCCTGGAGCATGGGCTCCGTGTCCGGGGCACGTGCAGAATGCCCTCGAGTGGGGCGTTTTTCAAAGGAACAGACCCCCTGGCCCAGGAACATGCAACCCCATGACCCTGCCTGGCAACAGGGTCCACTAGAGGCGCCCATGATGTCATTCCCTCTCCAATCATGTGTGTGAGGGGCCAGGTACTGTCCTTGGCCTTGGCACGCACCACCTCACTCTGTGCGGGAAAACTCTCTGAAGCAGGAGCTAAATGATCTTCATTTACAGGTCAGGACACTGAAGCATGGAGGGAGAGAAGGTAACTGGCCTGAAGCCCCACACCTGTTAATTAGGGCAGAATCTCCACCTAGGGCTCTGACTCCAGAATTTTCTCATCCACCTCTCTGTGCTGACTTGATCTATCTCCAATGGGAGCTATTTCTACCTGCCAGAATTCCAACAATTATCTTCCAACAAAATTCTTATCTCGGAAACGTCCCAGCAACTCATAACACGCCTCAAGGTGGTTTCAAGTTGAAGGCAAGAGACTTGCACAGACTACTGTGTCCTTCCCACTCATGGTACACGCCTGTGACATGCAGTCCCAGGGACAGCCCAGCCGTGGAAGGTGGAGGCCACCCTGGGACTGTGGCTCTCAATGTTTCGTAAGTTCTAACAAGTCCCAGCAGTCACAGACCCCCTCAACCATGACTCATAATTTTTTGATGCCTACAGCAGTCTGGTCCTGAAGGACAATATGAAGAGCATAAAATACTATCCCCTTACTGTCATGGGGTGTTCCTGTTACCCTGTCAAAGGTTAGTAACCCTTCCGAAAGTGATCTGCCATCTTTGGTCTACAACAGTGACTAGCTCTGAACCCAGACAGAATTCTTGGCCATCTTATGCGGTAAGTTGTTCAACTGCTCTGAAACTTGATGTCATCGTCCATGTCCTTGGCTCCTCCACTGTTTCATAAAGGCCAGTGCCACCTGGGTTTCTCTTCCTCTTGTTTACCGGTGGCCAACACCAGTTCAACTGAGTAAGCTTTGCCAAAGGTCAATTCTATGCCAGCAGAAAATCAAACAAAAATCTTTCTATTGTTCCTGTGTCAAAACTCAGTGATTTTCCTAACAGAGCTGCATTTTCTCTCCAGGGCTGCTCATGCCAAGGATTTCTTTAGTCTTTGAATCAATCAATACAGGCACAAAAGCCCGAGGCAGGAGTACATGGGAGCTTGGTGTGGAGGATTTACTAGCCTGCTGCACCTCCGCCTCCCACGTCTGTGTGTCAGCAATGGCAATGACAGGAGCTGAAGGAACCTGCTGCTAAACTGCCAAACAGCACCACTAACCAACTAAATGGAACACATGAGGACTTGCAGAACTCAATGAGGAAAAGACCAGCTTGCTTCTAGCAACACTCCCCCTGGCCGGCTTTGCTCTGCATGCACGGAGACTGGCACAGGCCCCAGTTTCAGAGAGCCGGGCAAAGTGCTACTTACAACCCAAGGACTGTGATCAGAAAAAAATAGAAGGCGCTGGGGGCACACAAGAGCCAGTCAGTCCCTAGCCTGGGGTCCAAATCAGGGACGATTTTGCCCCCTAGAGGTCATCTGGCAATGTCTGGAGGCAGTTTTGGTTGTCACAACTGAGAAATAGGTGCTATTGGCATCTAATGTGTAGAGACCAGGGATGCTGCTAAACAGCTTACAATGCACCGTACCCCTTTCCCCAGCATTACCTGGCCCAGAACGTCCATGGCACTGAGGCTAAGAAAGCCTGCTGCAGCCCTCAGGCTAAATTTACAAAATGACAGAGTATCTTTCTTGTTCTATTTGAACTCGGCGCATCACAACTTTAAAACTTAAATATAACGTTTATTTCTGTGATTGCAGTATTTTCACCAGTGACCACATGGAGAAGTTGATAGATCCATTGAGATAAGATGTGTTGAAGAAAAGAACTTACTGTTAATCTTAAAAACTGGCCTCAACTAGGTGCACAAAAGAAAATGTCACTTTGTCACAGACAGACTCCATTTTCTTTGGTCCCCAGACTAAGAGGGCCATGCTCAAAAGCAATATTTATTGTAAGAGGCATCAACTCTGAAGCTCTTTGGTCCTTTCTTCACTGTGGACAAGGGTGAGTAGGAATGCCCAGTGTGTACTTTGTTTAAATGCTTGGCCTCCCTCTGTGCACTTTCATGCCATTTCAACACAGGCACGTCCCCTCACCCCAAATGGAGGACACGCTGGCATGGCCACTCTGGCCTGCTCACCACCAGCTTACTAGCTCTGTTGATACAGAGGACGCTTGTAAGCACCACTTACTTGCATTTTGTACAATCCTGGCCCGACTTGCCCAGCGAGGCTGGGTGCAGTGAAGAGAGATAGGGGCACTGCCTTGTGGCAGGGCTGGTGCTCTGGAATAGTATGTCTTCCCTGTTCCTGGGAGGACACACTCCTGATGTTTGGAGGACTCCACCTCTTTCATTGATTGTCCAGGGTGGGCATAGCCGAACCTGTTTGAGCATTGTGTCCCTGGGCCTCCGGGGCCAGCACGACCTCTTTCACAGTCCCTGTCTCAATCTGCTACTACATGGAGACTCTAAATTCTCTGTGCTTCCAACTTCTCTTCTGAGCAGTGGACTGTGAACCCAGGGAAAAAAAAAGACACTTACCAGAAAGAAGCACTGTGGCTAACTGCACTCAAATTTTAAAAAACAGAGCAGAGCAGCTACTTCTGAATAGAGGCCTCCCAGGTAAACTGCACTTCAGGGAGCAGCCTGTACTTGAACTGCCTGCCTGCACGGTGTTTCTGCATCTGAGCCAGCCCTTGTAAAGGAGTCCCAGGAATCCTATTTCAACCAAGAGGACTGACGGTGAATTAGAGCTGAATGGCTTCAGCCAAGCAACCCTATTCTGACCAATCAGCACAGTGCCATATGGACCAATCAAATTTTGAGGATTTGGAGTCCTCATTTGCATGAAGATGGACCAATCAGGGAGTAGGGGTAAGGACTCTTGTCTATATAAGTCAGCTCCCACACTTTCCCTTTCCACAGAAAACTGTGGCTCCCTGGTTGAATGAAACACCAAAGATGTCTCAGAGCAGAGTGGAGCAAACCACCAAGCGGAGCAGAGCCCTCTAGCTGGAGAGCGTCCTGGCCAGAGGGCTACCTTACAACGTTGCTATTTTCACAGCTGTGCTGTATCACAACTGAATAAAGTTTCCTTCTTCATTGCACCCCAAATTTGGGATTCCTATTGGCATTGAATTGGTGCCAATGACCATTGGTTTACCGGACTTATGTCAATCTAACTGCCTCAAGCTGCCACAACTCAATGAAGTCACTGTCTGTCCCTCAAGCCCACACTCCCTAATTTCCGACCCACCAGTGAACAAGCACCCTCTGTTTTTCCTGAGCCCACCTGTTCCCTCAGTCTCAGTGTTCATCCTCAAATCCTGTTGATGCCACTTCTAAATTCTCACCAAGAAATCCTGCGCACGCTTCCGCCCCTCATCTCTCCTACCTAAACCATTGCAAACATCCTCCAGCAGGTCCTCGGTGTGAGGTTACAAGCCCAAATGCAGAGCTGACCTTACCACCTTGTTACTTACCTACCTACTGCCCTCAGAGAGGCGTACCTTGGAACCCGGGGCTTTCCACACCGACATCGGCACAGCTTCCAGCCACAGCCTTTGGCACTCCTCCCCACTGTCTGTGTCCAGCCACAGTGGGGAGCATCCTTGTTCCAAAGGAGCATATGATTCAGAACTGTCCATCTTTGCTAGTCCTTTGTGCCCTTTCTCTCTCCCCCAAACCAGACAGCATCCCAGCTGTGTCCTCCTCATCCTGGGAGGCTCTTGTCCTTCACTCCCCACTGGATTAGCCCTATTCCACCAAGGCCCCAGAACAGAACTGTGCTGTGTTTGCCTGACAGTCCTGAGACCAAGGAGAGCTCCTCGCACATGGTTTATACCCTACCATATGCTTGTTAATTCATATATGCTCAGGTTATTCCTCAGCTAGGGTGGGGTGTGGGGGAGTGGGAAAAGTTAGAAATGACAAACTTATCTGACATGGCACCCCTGTAAACCAGCATGCCTCACACAGGTCTGGAAAGGCTGTGGAGTAGCTCTGCACAGAGGAAAGAGCAGGTGTTCTAGCATGTGAACCATGAAAGGACAAGTCCAGGTTCTGAGACAGTAGAAGCAGGGTAGGAAGTGGGCGGCATGTAGCCCACCATGGTTCCTGGGGCAGCCTGGACAGGGCTGACTACCCCCTGGCCGGGAGGTCAGAGGGCAGGGCTGGGAGGGAGCAGCCTCAGTGGCTGCAGTGTGTCTGGTTAGATAGCCATGCTCTTCAGCAGCCTTTGGTGGGAAGGGCAGAGAGAGAGGGAGAGTGACTAAACCCCACTGCACTGCCAAGATCAGCATCTGACAGAGCAAAACTGAGAGGGACAGTAAACCTTTTTAAGATGCAAAACACATTTTGGAGGGCAAAATTATCAAAGTCAGAGACGGTGCTGAGAGGCAGTTTAGCCAGGGGTCAGGGCCTGGTTCTCACTGTGAGGAAGCACTCAGAAATGGCGATGCTCAGCACTGCCCCAGTACCTTTCACCTTCAGAGCCCTTTATAAGATTAACTAGTTAGTCCATGTCTAGGGCCCAGGAGCATGTGAGCTATTATTATGGGGGTGGGCGGGCCGCAAACAAAGGAACTCTGAAATTCCAGCCTCCCCAGCCCAGCCAAGGAGACTAAGGAGGTTTTTCTGCAGCCATTTCCTTTCTGCCCCCTGCCTGTCCTTGATCCTCATGCCCTCTCTCATTTCGTGTATGCTGCCCTGTGGAGGAACTGATTTCAAACATTGCCATTGAGCCACCAGTACACTCAGTGAGGTCATGACAGTAGGGAAAAGACATGAAAGAAAAAGGAAAATGCATTTGGGATGCCTACAGGATAATT